GGTCGGGCTGTTGCTGTTCAGGTTAGCAAGATGTAAAAGCACTGTGATCTCTTACCACCCAAAGGTGAAATGTGAAGGATGGCTTAACCTGTTGTCCATGTTGTTTTTGTAATGTATATATTCAAAGCTTGTGTCAGAACAACAAGTTATCTTGGAGAACATTGTAACCGTATTTACAGGGATGTGGGATAGTTTGCAAAAACAGGGAAACGTGAAATGAATTAGAAGACTTGTAAGTTGAGTGGGATGCTTTTGTTTGAATCAATGTGAAATTTGAATTAGTGTTAGTCGCTCAGTTTTGTTTTGTTTTTTTTTTTACAAGATGGTGTCTGTATAAATGGTCCAGCTTCCCAGTTGGCATTGGCATAATCTCATACTAATGCAGCTGCCTGGCTTGGTAGATGGCACCATGGCCAGCCTGCAAGTGTCTGTACCTGAAAATGTGGACTTGCTGCTTCTTACCCAAACCTTCCACTGCTTGAAGTGTCAGCTGTGGGACAAGACTCTACATTCCATGCATATATAGGCTGTAACATATTTCTATTTTTAAAACCACTACGCTTTGTCTTATGCTTTGCAGCACGAGTCACTCTAGTCGGGGCTGTGGGCAGGAGGAGATTGTGACTGGACTTCCCTTGGTGTGACAGCCCTGCTGCTCGGGGCTGGGGAAGCTGCAGCACCCTCGGTACCAGGGCCGGGTGATGCTGCACGCCTGGCCTGGCCTGAACACATCCAGTGCAGTTCCTGTGCTGGAAATCATCAGACCTGGTGGGAATAAGCTTTAGTAATTCCTGAAGGAGCACAGAAATAGGTTGAAGGTGTAGATGAAACACAGTTTTGTGAGAAGCATGGCCAGCAGGTCGAGGGAGGTGATTCTGCCCCTTTACTCCGCTCTCGTGAGACCCCACCTGGAGGAGTGCGTCCAGCTCTGGGGTCCCGACATAGGAAGGCCATGGATGTGTTGGAGTGGGTCCAGAGGAGGGCCACGAAGATGATCAGAGGGCTGGAGTACCTCTGCTACGAGGACAGGCTGAGAGAGTTGGGGCTCTTCAGCCTGGAGAAGAGAAGGTTCCAGGGTGACCTTATAGCAGCCTTCCAGTACCTGAAGGGGCCTATAGGAAGGATGATGAGGGACTTTTCACAAGGGTGTGTAGTGATAGGACAAGGGGGAATGGTTGTAAACTAAAAGAAGGTAGGTTTGCATTAGATATAAGGAAGAAATTCCTTGCCATGAGGGTGGTGAGGCCCTGGCACAGGCTGCCCAGAGAAGCTGTGGCTGCCCCCTCCCTGGCAGTGTTCAAGGCCAGGCTGGATGGGGCTCTGAGCAACCTGGTCTGGTGGAAGGTGTCCCTGCCCATGGCAGGGGAGTTGAAACTAGATGATCTTTACGGTCCCTTCCAACCCAAACCATTCTATGATTCTGTGATTCTATGAATGTAGAGTGTGTTTTGTTATGAATACTTTTATCTGTCTTAGTCCAATAATTGTAACATAGAATAAAGTGATAGAGCAGCAGGAGAGAATCTTTGTTTGTGCGCAGCTGCAGAAAGAGAGCATGTGAATCTGTCAAAATTGCACCACTTTGGATTTTCTTCAGTATGTAATCGTTTGCTTCTCGGCTGTTGCACTACTTGCCATTTCACTTTGTGTTATTTCAGTTGAGTTGAGAAAAAAGATAGAGGGTTTCCTTATCTCTAGGGGCTGATTTTCTTGGACTCAGTAGTTTGAGAAGTTGGACAGTGATTTCCAAAGTATTGTGCTAGAAAATGTTAGCAAACCCTTGCAAAGCAGTGCCAGAGTACTCTTATTTTTGTTTTCTTAAAAGCAAAAAAATAAATGTTTTAAAGATGCTGAAAGGTACTTCTGAGTTACTTAGATTTATTCATTAATTTTAGAAGAATTACAAATTCTGTCCCAAAAGGCTGACCTCCTCAGACAGAAACTTTGCTGGAGCAGCCTTGATACAACAGATGGGCTGGAACAGCCCCTCGTGGGGGATGGGGATGTGGTGGCACCTTACCAGCAGGCGGGTTTGTTGGATCAAGAGCCACAAAGCCTGGCACGGTGGGCTGCTTCTCTGCTGCTGAATGAGCTAACCTAGGAACCCCGATGCATCTGGAATTGTTTGTAAGAGCTGCTTGAAGAGGGGAAATTCTCCTTTTCTTTAAGCATTGGATGTTGTTTCTTTTAAAGAATACTGACTCTTCAAAGCAGAAGAGGGGGGAAAGTGTTTGGGGGTGCTTCATTTCCTCCAACATGTGTGTTTTCACTATGTAGGCAAAGGATTAGTCTGAGGATTCTTGCATGTGGAAATGTTTCAGGTGGGTTTTTTTTTAGTGTAGAGCAACCCTTGATAGAACAACTTCATAATCTTGACGTACTCAGAAATGATCAATGTTAAAACCTTTCTGTATATATCCTATGCAGTTACTTTGTGTGACTTTGTAATTGTCTGTATTTATTTGCTTTCTGAGACACAGTAATTGCTTAAAAATTCCAGGGATACACATGTCCTTTTGGCATTTTCTTTACATTTTAGAAAATAAGTTAGGACTGCACAACTTTGTCGCTGAAATTGCATTCCCTGCAGGAGCTGCAGTATTCACCAAGGTTGTATAATATCACAACTTGACCTTTTTCTGCCACATAGGTTTTTTCCTTGTCAGGAAGAAATTATGAAGACTTGTCACCTTGTTACATTAATAGGCAGTTATGCTGCACAGGTTGATATAAAATACAGGCATACTAAAATGGGTAAACATAAGCAAATATATTTAGTAGTTATCATAATCTATGCAAGTGTTCTTTTAAGTTATTGAAATTAGATTGCTATGCCATGAAAACATGACTGTCATTGCCCAGCACCCAGGCTTTGGTAGCTTGGCATTTGGATTTCAAGAATCTAAATTTCCCTGGTTTGTTTTCCATAGAAATGAAATATGTTGTTTATTTATGGATAAACATTAAGCTTCTAGTTGAGAATGTATAACCAGTGAGTGCAGTAAGCAACCAGAAGCAATGCTGGGGGCAGAAGGTGCCTGTTTGTGTGTATCAGGCAGTAGACATCTCCGTGCTTTTATGTGATTCCTTATTCTTTGCTTTTTTAACCATAAAGCGTCAGTGCATTATACATTGCTGCTGGCCATTGGCAGTTTCTGACTTCCCAGTAGAACTGGATTTTGAGAAAATTGAGATGTGGGGAGTTAAAAGTGGCTTCCTGTAGCTTTGTCTGTTGGAAGTAAATAGGAGTTTCATAGAAGATGTCAGTGGGCCAAGACTTGACATTTGTTGTTATTTTCCGGCCCTTAAGAAGAAAAAGAAAGAAAAAGAAAGGTGGTATTGGGAGATCAGAGACTGTATGACTTTGGTGACTAGAACAGTGTGGTACAATACAAGTTTTGACAGGCAGTTAGCAGTTTAATTTAGAGAGCCTTGAGAAGTGAGGACACATTAACATTAGCATTTTAATTCAGACAATGACTGTCCTTCATGACTCTTCGTCTCTCCAAGATTCGCACCCTTGCTGGGATCTCAGAGTGTGCAGCTCTTTCAGACAAACCAAGCCTGGATGAGGTGTCGCAGTCGCTAATGGGCAGGCAGACCACGGAGCCAGGCTCAAAACTCATGTGTATGTAGATACCGAGTCCTCAGCACCAACAGCTTCACTCTGGATGTCCTCTCCTGCTTGCACCAGGAGTTGGGTGTGTAGGCATGACCTCAAATGCCTGTGCTGGGGGCAAAGAGGAGCTGAGGAAGGGAGCTGGGAGGATCCAAGTACCTTGTCTTAGCCAGCGATCGAGACCGTAACAGCCAGCCGTAGGCGCAAGCATTTATCGCTGGTAGTGTCTTAAATGGGTTAAGCACTTTTGCAAGTAGTCAGTTGAGCATGTTGTCCATTACTGATTAGAAATAAAAAGTGGTTTATGCTTAGAATAGAAAAATGTGGACCACTAAGGTTTCAGGGGCATTAAGACAACAAGGGGACATTTAAAGCAAGCTGCATTTTGACCAGGGAAAAAAAAAAAAGTAAGCTTTGACATTTGTGATGGTTATTACTGTGTGAAAGCCTGTAGGCTGCTAGATGTTTGAGGGCTTGAATATTAAGTATTTCAATCAGCACAAATTAATAGAACAAGATGAAAAGTGCTTCTGCAGCATGAACAAAACTACTCGTGTGTTTTCTCGAAGGTTTGTTTAGCTGTCCCTGAAACACAGGCACAACATCTGTGTTCATCTGATCTCCGTGGAAAGTGGTAGAAGGCTTCCTTTTTTTCCCCCCTTTTCATTTTGCTCAATTGATTAATTTATGAATTACTGTTTGTGTGGAATGGTTGTTTCCTTTTAGAGAGAACCAGAAACTTCTGTCCAACTGTTGGGTGCAGATCCTCATCCCTGCAACGTGGTGCTAAGGCATTTCGTAGCGCTGGCAGTCTGGTTAAGACAAAAGTAACACGATAGAAGAGGTTTCGGGCAATTCAGTGAAATAAAACTGCAAAACCTAAAACCAGGAGGTTGCAAGTGTCACTTGCAACGTGTTGGATGCCATAGATGAGTTCTGTGTGACCTTTAACTGGAGTGAAAACATACTTGATTTTTGAGCTATCTTTGCCTAGACAGTACACAGCATGCTAAAAGCCTACATATTTTGGCAGAAGAAATACAGAGCACAAAGCAACGGCTAGAGTTGAAAGCCAGATTGATTTGAATTAAACATGCAAACCCCATTTCTAGCAGAATGTGACTGACCATTGAAAATACAAACAGCCAAGAGAATGGCGATTTGTCTCTTTATGTCTTTCCGTCAGAACTTCAGTCAAGCGCAAGTTATGCCTTGGTTCTGCCTGATTTGCCAGGGTAATTGGGTGTCAGTCTGCGACTGCATTATGCAGGAGGTCACACTTCGTATTTGTTATGATCTTTTTTGATTTAAAATCAGAAACTATAACATGAGCCAAATTGAAATCAGCGGTGTTCCTATTTGTCTCTCCCTCCACTCGCAGGTACTACAGTGCTACCATTTTGCAGATGTCAGGAGTTGAAGATGACAGGCTTGCAATCTGGCTGGCTGCACTGACAGCATTTATAAACTTCGTTTTTACTCTCGTGGGAGTCTGGCTCGTTGAAAGAATGGGCCGCCGGAAACTTACACTTGGTAGCTTAACAGGTGAGTGCTTAATTAGTGGATTGTATATTCCTCATAATTATGGACAAAGTGAAAATAATATTTCAAGTACTGATTTTGTCAGAATAGCCCTCTTTAAAATAACAATGTTGACCTCATCTTCTGCCTGAAATCATATAGCTTTTCAAGACTAATATTAGAGTACCACAGCTAAAGGCTAATTTAAAAAATAGAGGTTAACATGTTATTTTTTCAGGTGTGGTTTCTTCTTCAAGCCGTGTTTGACAGTGTTTTCATTTAGCTTTTTATGCTTTTTTTCAGTATAAGGAATCAAATGCTTGGAACTTCACAGCTGGTTAGTTTTTAAATCTCATGTGTGTATATGTGATATGTAATTTCTGACTTATCAGTTGGAATTCAGAAGATCTTATCAAGAGCGAACGGAGAAAGCGTATTGCATAGCTATTGCGGTGCTTTTTAAAAAGTAACGCAGTTCTTCGCACAGTTAATCTCAAACACAGTATAGTAACTCAACTTGAGTATATAATCTCAAACACAAATACAGTAAATACCGTACCTGCACGAATATGATTTTAATTCACCTCCTGTATGAGATACTACAAGACAGAATTCTGGATTTGTACATTTTGTCCAAATATTCAAACACCATAACTCATCACGTAGTCATCTCTTGGAAGCAGGAAAAGGCAGAGTGAGCAGCCTTGCCTACGCTCAGCCACGTCCTGCCATTCACCTGGCGAGTGCCTGCTTGCTCCGGCGTTTGGTGCTTGTGCTGGCTGGAGCGAGCTGTGACTGATACCTGCCTCTGGCTGCAAGGTTCAGACGTTTCCAAGAACAGGATCTGGAGAAGATAAACAGTTCCCGCTCTTCTTGAAATAATGTTCACAAGTGTGTAACTGGGAAGGTTTAATGTCTCCATATTTTGTTCTGTTGTCGCTGTCAGGGATCCAAACTTCTAGTTAATGCGGCACAGCAGAGGAGGGGACCACCTGCCAAGTCGCTGGCCATCTGCAGTTCCCAAGGGAGGGGAGTTAGTCTACACTTGCAGTGTCGGAATGCATTTATAGAGACAGAACAGTGGTGGCACAGTGTCGTATCTCGTTTGATACACAGTTACCCAAAGTTGTGAATTAAAACATGCAGTCTGGAGGCAATTTGGTATTTCCAAGTTATAATAAATGTGTGTTTGGAGCTCAGAAACCTCAAGTGTGTTTCACAATCCAGGTTCAGAAATGTAGTCATGACAGAGAAGATCGGAAAAGTGTGTTCCTCAAGTCTTAAAAAAAAATGAGCAAAAATCTCATATCACTACTTTTATCACAGTCTACCTCCAGAACAGTTAAAATAACTCTTCCCTGTAAGTTCTTCTGTGTCTCAGCCAGCACCAAGCCTTTCAGAGGGGAAAGACCCAGTTCTGTACCATTCCCTATGCTCAATATCCTTTTTTGCCCTGTGGTACTTGTCTGTTTTCTTGTCTTTCTGCAAACTGGATCTCTCCTCGCACTGCACCGGTACTTCTGGTTCTTGGGTGCTGCCTCTCCTTTATACTCTCGTGGAATGGAGTATTTATATGTTTATATATTTGGCCCCGATACCTCATACATCTGGCCGGCCCCTCAGGAGTTTATTGCTCATCTGGACCCAGCTTTATAGGTGTGATTCCCACGTGGACTTTTCATACAGTCATGGAACTCTCTGCTTTTTGGCTCTGGTTAACATAGATTTAAAGGTCATACATTTGAAATGTAGGTATAGATGTCTCTTACAAAGCATATTAGTCATAGAATAGAGAAGGATATAGAAATGAGCACAGAATTAATGAAGGAGAATAATATAGTGAAGAGTTATTTGTTTATGATATTTGGACAGAAAGTCCAAAAATATTGTTGGTCCTTCTGTGGCCAGTTGCCAGTCTGCAGCATCACTTGGTCCATGCGGCATTGCTTGCTCTATTCCTTATCATACAGTCCCTCCATAAGGAAGATACAAATAATGACAGTAATGAAATCATGTCACCTCGCTGTACTATTTAGAGTTTTTTTATGCAATGTTTGACACTGATTTAGGTAGTGGCAAATACGATGTGTTTTCCCTTAGCAAAAAATGTCTATTTAATAAAACACTAATTGCTAAATCTGCTGATGGATTTGTTTTCCACAGTGAGTTTTCTCATGGGGTAAACTTATATTTTACTGCTCTACTTTAGTTTGTGTTTCAAAGGACATTGGCTTTCACGCTGGGTTACTACTGGCTGCTTCTCTGGTCTTTGGAGAAGCCAGGTGTGCCCCAGTCTCCCATTGCACAGAATGAGAACCAATCTGCTACCTTTACCTGCTGCTGCAAGGGTGTGGGCTTTTTTTGGTAAAGATTAGTTGATTTGATGTTTGCTAGATGATAACCTATGAGAATAATCAGTAGAGAGACAGTAGCATTAATATTTTGATTAAAAGCTAACATACTCTAATTTAATTTTGTAAACTCATGCAGCTTTCCCTGCTTTCTGAAAACATTTGGGAGAGTTATTTTACATTTAATTGACTATATCTTTATAATTTTCAAAATATTAGCAACTTCTGAATAATTGAGCCTTTCAGATAGATCCAGAAGCATTAGGAAAATTATAGTAAACTGCTTCTGCCAAAAAAGAAAATTAAAAAAAGAACAAATCACACCTGTTCAGTTCTCTTTATGACAGTTACTGATTCCTCTTAGTTTCCCATTCATTTTGTATTTTGGCATCAATTTTTTGTCTTTCTTTTGCTGTTTTCTTCAGTTAATTGCTTTCTTCAAAGCTGTTAATTGGGAAACATGCAGGAAGACTAACAAATGCAGTATCCATTTTATTTGTGTTTACCTTTTTCCCCCTCAGGAAAAAAAAGTTTGGAAGCATGGTGGTACTTGGGCATTGGACAATTTGTGTTGCTTTTTGAAACAGAATCTAACGTATCTTCCGGATATTTCCTTTTTTTTTTTTAATCTCAGCTAATGATGTACTGTCATTATATGGTTTTGTTCATCATAGACAAACTTCCCACAGAATGAAAATATATAATAAACTTTATTTGCCAAGTTTACATATTCAGTACTTTTCCAAAGAAATAAAACATTTGCAGAGGTACTAAAAGTGAGTGATAGTGTATTTGGTTAAGTTAAAAGACAGACAGAGCATATTTAGAATGAATATAAATAAGGTTATAGGCGCTGTTTAAAGATATTTGCTGTCTGGTTTATGGCATTTTGAAAGTACAGTAAATCTAGTGCAATAGCCAGCCTGCCCAGAGAACTGGGATTATTAGTGTACCTACTAGCTATAGCAGTGCAAAGCCAAGTATAGAATAAACTGAAATCACGTTTTATGTGGGTAGGTGCTTTCTCCACATACGGTTTGTGATGGACGTTAAGGTGTTAGCTGCCTCGGTTCAGGTTAATGTGTGGTCCAGTCATCTCCAGTGTGTGCATATTCATGCCTAATAGCCATGGCTGCTGCACAGCCACATTCATCAATAATTTTATTACACGGATCTTGGTACTGAAGATATTATTTGTATCTCAGAAAAAGTTTTTCAAGTACTTGGCGGGTTTGCCTGCTAGGAAACTCTTGCTTTTCTCTTCAAAGACACCATTAATCCCACCCTTGAAACTGCCAAAACATCCCCTCTGCCCACCAAAAAAAAACCAAAGCCCAAAATAAAAACCAGATGATGTGTAATTTCTTAAAGATTACCAGAATGACATGCTAAGGGTTTTAATGTAGTGGCATTTCTGAAGGTGTGCACAGATGCATTTCTGAGAAAATTACTTACCTGCTTCCAACATACAGAGCAAAGGGATGATGAGGAGTATGTGGAACTGAATGAAGTCTCCTTCATTTGCTCTCAACCATTAAGCTATATCACTGCATGCTTCAAAATGTGTGCTGCCTTCTAACTGGGATGTACTTCAGTGGTTTGTGAGGCTGTTTTTTTGGTAAGGATAATGTCATTAGATCATTAGTAACTAGCTCACAAATAAAGTTATAACTAATTTTGTATTTTTAGTACGGGTACTCTGTACATCAGGCTGTACATGTTCTTTGCGACCTTTCAAATAAAAAGTGCCATTAAATAGTGAGCATACAAATAGATACACAGGGTATTTTATGCAACATAGAATTAGATGCCTCTTCAAGTAGCAAGATGTAAATGTTTTATAAATTTTATGAGTTTGGGACAGTTGCAGTGGTATCATGAGTGGTGAAGTATATAAATTTTCATTAAAATGGTACAGCATATAGTGTATGTGTGACAAATAAGGAAGGAAAACTTTGGGTTATGTTCTACTAATGGCCTGTTGTACAAAGTATGAACCTTTTTTGCCATCCTCTCTCTCATCATTTTGCCCAGCTTGTGTACAAGGAATTTGCTGGGAGGGGGACAGGAGCAGAGAGATGGAAGGGGGCTTTTTTCTAGCAGGTGTTATGTGTGTGTGCTCTTTGAAACAAGATTAGAAACTGCAGATGGGCTTTTTGGTGGTGTTTTTATGAAAAGTCACATTTCTCTTGTTGCACAAAGGAAGTACAGTCTGTGAAAGAGCTGATGCTGTTATCTATTTTACAGGAAAGCCTGCAAGTCTGGGTCTGGGAAGAAGTGGTGATTTCAAAATCATTGTTAAATTTTACCTTTACAGAATTATTTTCAACACCAAAAAGAATACAGCCATTCTTTCATGCAGTCTTCAATTCCACGTATAAAAAAAAAGCCAACCTATTAATTTAGTATCTGGACATTAAACCTGATGCGCTTGACTTTGACATCTGACTTAATTCAAGATGTGGATGTAGAAAATGGTATTTTTCTTAAGTTCTCATCACAACTCCTTAGCGAATGCTGTTTGCATAGTAATAGGGTGCCTTGCTTTCCCAAGCATAGTTCAGTTCGATAGAGAATTATTTCATGTGCTCTGGAGAGAAGTATCACATTGTTCTTTATCTGTATTTTTAGGTACTGCTGTAGCACTCATTATCCTAGCTTCGGGATTTTTGCTATCAGCTCAGGTCTCGCCAAGAATCACACTTAATCCACCAGATTCTTCACATCAAAACTCTACCTGCACAAAATACAGGTGAGATTTCATGATCATTCATCTGATCTGCTTGAAGATTTTTTCCAATTAATTGATTTTTACAACCTAGTGTGAGTAATAGACAAGTATTAACAAAGTCTGCTACAAGGAACTAAGCTAGATACCTAAAGTTAAAATGCTAACTTCCCTCAGTAGAGATAATTAAACTCTTTGCTTAAATGCTCTGAATAACTCTTTGGAGTCTTGGACTAAATAAGGTGGTTAAGTGGCAGACTGCACACTTGAGATCTCCCCTGTTATATCACACCTGCTGCAATTTATAGTGGACACAAAGTCAGGAATATTTTAGAAGTAATTTGTAAATATGCTTGCTGTTATTCGTCTAGTTGTAGATTTGTCATGTGTAACAGCTGTAAACTCTTCAAGAAGAAGTGTTCCTTGCCTTCTGTCTTCTTCAGTGGAAAAAAAAAATCTTCAGATAATTACAGACCAATTAACAATTAAAACAAATGTAGGGTTTTGACCTTTTTTTCTATAGTGCATAGAAGATGCACTTACATATGCAATCGTAGTTTCAAATAACATTCCTTCTAGAGTGTTACAGGAATGTGTCATTTTCTATATTTTGTGGGTTTTATTCACACATGAGTGCTCTTATGTTCATTTAGCTGGCAGACTATAAAATTCCCTATTGAGAAAAGGCTAGTTAGATGGTTGAAGAATTTCCTACTTATGCTCAAGATCCGTTTCACATGTGTTTGCAGTAGAGATAAATATCAAGAAATGAGAGGTACGCTTCTAGTTTCCAAGTAATATTGGCTAGAAATATGGTTCATGGCTTTTCATATGCCAGCACAATGTCTTAGGTGAAAGATTCTGAGAATCTGAAGCTTCATAGACCCCTGGGAAGGGGACAGAAGGTCTTTAAAACAGTGTAAATAAATGCTAGTAACTGCACCATTAGATACTATCATATATGAGGATCCCTGCCTGCAAAAACTGTGTTCTTACTTGTTTTCTACTGCAGGATCAACTATATTTTGCAATTTTTGAGATGTGCCTATACAGCGTTTTCAAATGGCAAGTAATCTGGTTATAAGATACAAAGGGGTAAAAAGCTTCCAAATGCTCTCCTTTCAGAATAAGATAATGTTAACAGCAGGATGGCAAAAGGATTTGCCTGGGACTTAAGATAACTACTTAAAGAGGATGTCTGGGAAGCGCAGATGCACCATTTGCAGAACTTGTTATTTGTTATCTAATAAAGCTAGATGATTATATACCCTGAAACAGTATGAAATCTGCGTGGAAGAAATATGGCTAGTCCACCTTAAGAAGTAATGAAAAATTATTTGATGCAGTTTTCATTTTCCAGTTAACCACAGCTAGTCAGGAAGGAAATTTCGACTCGCTGCGGCTTGCTCAGTGTGCACTGCTGGGCAAAAGTAAGCAAAATTAAAGCAGGTAGTTCTAGTAAAGGCATGTTGTTTCATGAATTATTGGAATACTTTAATCTGTCATGATTTTTGTTTCTGACAGGAAGTGATCAAGAGCAGATATGATAGAAATTCAAAGGGTCTAGGGAAGAGAATAAAAGATAAAATATTTTCATTTGGGAGTGTTTTGAAATAGGAGGAGCTCTCTTAGTTTAAAGATAGAAGTGAACGTATAAGGGGGATCTGAAATAATGAGCAATGTATGAGAAAGCTTTAGGTGCTTCTATTTTAATATAAAATATTTTTTAATATTTTTATACCTTGGTAAAGTGACGCAAAAGCCAGGAGAGCTGAAACTGATAAATGGATGCAGTTGTCTGCAAATCACAGAATTAAGCTACAGCACCCACTGTTTAAAAGGATTTAAAAAATGAGGCATTGATAAGGTTAACAACAACTTTCATGCTTGTGGATCTGAAACTATATTTGGGATATCAGTTTTCATGCTTCAAAACATCACCAAACCCTGACCCTGCTAGAGCCAGAGGAAGAATATTCCTTCAGCGTCATGAAAATTAGCGTCCATTTTGGGAGGGATATCAGCCGCTGACTCAGTACCAGAAAGCCTCAAAATTCCAGGTGTCTTCAGCCAAGATAGCAGTAAGTGTAAAAGATATTGTTTGTTTTCAGCATGGATCAAGGGAAGAGAAACAAATTTAAACATTTTGTCTCCAGCAGTGTCCCCAAAGGAGCTTAGTTTGGGTGTGCCTTTCTGCCAAGCTCTTTCTGCCATAGATCATATACATTAATTTATTACTTTATTTGAATTATTTCTGGAGGGGATGACGCATAGCCATAAATTATATTCCTCTTGCAAAAGTGTCTGTTCAAGCTATGTGGATCCCTGCTTTCTGTGCATGTGGTCAATAAGCTGAATGAAATTTTTAAACATATTTTTTTCATCATAAAGTAGATGGCGTTTCACCATTCCGCCTGGGTTAGAAGATGACAGTTAGTCTTTCATATGCCCTGTGCAATCTGTTTTTAAATCAGTGGCAACTGTGGGAAATCTCTACACTTGCACAACTTTGTCATAATGTGCATGATCCTCGATGATCCTGGAAGGAAGAAGAGGTGGGGACTGCAAAGTGGTCTCTTGCTGTTTAATCCATGTCTTAGCTTGCTTCGGTGTCACTGCTGGTGTCCCATATTGTTTAGCATTGTATCTTGCAAGCCAAGAGGTCCCAGAAAGTTTTGGAAAAGCAAAAGGCAGCAGGACTTCAGATGATCAACATATAATGCCACCTCCGTGTAGCCACCGTAACCACTTTTAAGTCCGTGTGCCTACACAAACGCAGCTCGTATTCTGCTTCGTCTACTGGTGATGCAGTGCTGCTCTGAGGTGAGGTACACTTTGTCAGTCTAAACCTGTTTGAGCTTGGCCATCTCAGAGTATGGGGGTGTTTCCTAAATGTGACTTGTATTTGTCTTTGCTAAAATGAGTTTATAAGTAATAAAAACATCAATAAAATGTATTTTGCTGACAGAAGTTTCACTGATGCTATGCAGGGTAAAAATGCTTTTTATGTTTGCAGATCCATTGGGTTAGAGTAAGTGTGGGTGTCCATTATGGATGCCTTTCCTGCTGCTAGAATAACAATGAAGATAGAACAGAAAAGCAAATAAAGAACACACTCCCTCTCCTAATTCAAAAAAAGCACCTAGGGCTCGAATACTATGTTCTGAAAGAGCTGTGCCATGCAGAGGTACAAGTTACCTGTACATGGTTGCAGAAAGCCAACCAGTAAGATGTGCTGCAAATATCAGGTAAAATATTTTCATTTGGTGTAGAGACATACAATATCGTAGTTGATCAAAAGCCAAAAAATAATCCATGAATCAGTGAAAAAAAATTGAAGGTGTCACAAAGGCATCATGGAAATAACGCAAACCCAGCAGGACATCCTGAATGCTGAGCTTCTCTTTGCCTCCTCACAGGTGAGAGTGGGTGGGTGTCTTACTGAGGAAGGGCAAGGTGACCATTTACCTGTGTGCCATCCTTAAATCAAACTTCTTTTTCACACTCAGCCCATATAAGACTGTATAGATACTTGCAGTGTGACCACCTCTCTTCTTTGATCTTAATCTCTTCAGCAGCTGTGATCTGTTACTTATCATCAAGGCCGCAGAGAAGCTCAGAGGTAAATTTAGGAATACCAAACACTACCATCCCAAAATTTGTCATCTTTGAAATGAAAAGATGAGCTGTCTGTTCCTATTATTATTCTGACCACCCAAAACTGTATAAACATGTTCCCATTTTTACTGGGGACTTGCCTGGTTCTGGAAGGAGGTCGAGGTTAGGGCACGTGCACTAGCTACCCTACCACCTTTTCCCACCCTACCACCTTTTCCCATTCTTGAAAGAATCAAAAGTTTGACTGTCCCACTCTACCTTTCTCTGGGACATTCACCCGTTTCTGGAAAAGGATTGTTGTCCTGTTGCCTTGTATTCTTGGTCTTTTTATCTTCTTTCATTCATGTGTCTGTCTCTCTTACTGCCCTGCGTGAGACTTCCTCAACTCTAGAACACATACTGTGAACTTATTCTGCTTAACCAATGTTTTTCACCTCAGTTACTATATGAAAATGGTAACTTTTGCATTGAGCTTAGGTTAACCCTCATATCCTAGGGAAATGATACCTGTGCACAAGAACTTTCTCAGGTCGCTTTCCGAACTGGGTGTCTTCAGAGGTTGATTAAAATAGTACAGGCGGTGCCAGCTGTGCTGGGCACACAAGGGCTCTGCTGTTGGTCTTTGGATTAGTCACCGTCACGCGGGTAATGTTCCAAAGCTCGTTGTACAAATACACACCACTGAGGTGAAGGAACCAATATATAGTATTCTTACATAGCAATTTTACAAGATAGCTGATAGGCAGAAATATATTTTCTTTATGATTTTAGCAAAAGTATGTAATTGTGATCAGTCCTGAAAAACTAGCTAACCTAGAAACTGAAGCTGATTTTATTGTATTTAATAGCCTTAGGATACATATAGTAAGTATATTAGCTATTGTACTGTATTTAGTTAATTCATTGACAATCTGATTTATCTGCAAACTAGACATCCATATTCTTCATACTGTCACTGTACCACAGGACCAGTATTTTTTAAAATATGATTCTCATTTTATGTTTCTAATGTCAAAGTGACTGAGCCACCAGATGGTGGTCATTCTCATAACTCAGAATTGCAATAATAAATACAGTAATGTGTTTCTGTTATTAGCTTCAGAGAATTATGAGTAAAGAGATAAACTATGTCTGAGAATACTTTTGCCAACTCTTATGAAATGTAACTAAAATTCTGATAGACAGTTTGTGTTGTAGAACTGTAAAATGACCTCAACATGGTCTTGAAATATATTAAGTAGATAATGTAAGGATTTATCGCTTGGTGATAATTTTCCATTTGCTGGCATGTTGCTTCTATCAATCAAAATGTGTAATTTAATTTAAAATCATAACGGTTAGAAAGTAATATGTCAGTTCTGTGTAGTAAGCATCTTTAATGCGAATGAGAAAAATCTCCTCTGATC